GGTTTCGTCGTTTGCTGACATATGGCTTTTGAAAAACCTTGCAATCATTTTTGCGATTTCTAAATGACATAGTGTTCACAGTAGTAAAAATTCGTTTAGTACGTGCAGTCGTCAAAGAGCCTTTTGTCTCTGTACTTTTGCATGTGATGCGAAGAACTGCACACACTAACATTCGCCTTCAGGACAGGTTGGTCAGATATGAGTAGTGACACTTGTACGATATTTGCATACATATTCAAGCATTTCACTATCTTGATTCTACCGGTCAGTGAGAACTTTATGTAAAATAGCCTGATTATACAATGGCTAGAATATACGTAAAACTTATTCATAGTTTTGCAGTGGCGACGTGATCACTATGTTAATTAGTTGAGTTTTCGCCTGATTTGCATTGGAACCTGCCTATATATACTGTTCAACAGAAGGTAGTTTCTGTTTCAGGTGCGCCAGAGAAGAAGGGCAGTAAAGAAAATCGACACCACGTACCGAAACGAACATATTGCAAAGGAAAGGAACGGGATGCAAAGGTGCGCGCGCAAATGAATGGAAGGAGCGGAAACGAACCGAAAGGAACGTTGCCACCTTGTCTGACGAGCGAACGGTAGCGACATGAAATCGTTTCGCGGAGAGTGTTTTTCCTCGAATTAAGCGGGAACGTGATTTGTTTTTCTTTCACCTTTCCATGCTAAACACCTCTTCTGTTATAGGGTACAAGGCCATCTAGCTGTTGGCCATACCGAAACATGCCTGTAACGGAAGATATGCCTGCGAAGTCATGAGTTGTTTGCGGCCTCTAGGTGTGTATTTACGCATGTAATATGCTTGGGGATTTCCTTTTGTTTTGTGTTATCATGAGCAATGCTTTTAGCTGACATGATCATCTGGATGGTACGAAATACTTGCCTACCACGGCACATGGTCATGCCTGTAAGAACACTGCGGACTGCTTAAGTCAATGGGATGGTACGAATGGTCAATGGATAATACGAACTTTATTCGACTTTTATCTAGGCATGGCAACCAAGAGTGTAGGAAAGTAACTGAAGGGAACAAAAATGAGCCGAAAGGAACGAAAAGGAGCAGCGGAAAGCAACGGAAATGAAGGTTACGAATTAAAAGTAATAGAACCGAATGGAAAGCAGAGTCGGGAACTCTTCGGATGAGTTAAAGGTGGCTACCATCGTTTTTCGGTTACTGTCATTACTTGAATGAAGGGGACAAGGTAAGTGGTTTTTCTTTCGCTTTTCCATGCTAAGCACTTGGTACAACGCCTGCAGCTGTGGGCCACAATCGAACATGCCTGTAGTGGAAAATATGTCTGCGAAGTCATGGGTTTTTCTGCGGCTTCAAGGTGTGTATTTACTCATGTAATATGATTGGTGATTCCCTTTTGTTTTGTTTATCATAAATAAAGAAAGCTTTTAGCCGACATGAACATCTAGATGGCCTGAAATAGTTGCCTGGCACGGCATATAGTAATGGTCATGCCTCTAAGAACACTGTGGACGGCTTAAGCAAACAGGATTGTACGAATGGCTGTTATGTTCACGACAACTACCGTCCATTTGACGAACTGTAGGACAGTCGGCTGTTGAACTACCGGAGAATGGTTAATTTAGTATCCCGCGTTTATGCGGAAATGACAACGAAGAGCCTAGGAAAGGAGTAGAGCAGAAAGTAGCGAAAACGAAAGGAAAGGAAATAAGCTGAACGGAACCAAAAAAAACGGAAAGGAGGCGTAAGGAACGAACGTAATGGAATGAAGCCGAAAAGGGACAGATTGGAAACGAAATGAAGCAAAGTGGTACGTGATTTCTTTCGCGCTTCCATGCTAAACGACTACTCTGCCAGAGGGTATATCCCCATCCAGCTGATGGGCAAAATGGAACATGCATATGAAGCAAGCTTTCTCTTTTAATGCGGAGTTAGTTTTCTATTTCTGCGTGTGTTTACGTATGTGATTATCTTAATGTTTTGCCGTTGTTTCGTTTTATCGTCAGCAACGCTTTTAGTCGATTACGCCCCTCGGATGGCCTGAAGTACTTGGCTGATACAGCACAAGGTGGTCATTGTCATGCGTTTAAGAGCACCATCGATGGCGCAAAACAATGCGATGGCACAAATGGCAGGTACTTTCATGACAGGTACCGTGGATATCACGAGCTCTGGAACAGTCGGGGGTTCAAAAACCCCTGATATCGGGATGTGTCCTACCCACTAATGAGCATTCTACTAGTTGTGCTGTTAGGTTATATGACGTTCTCAGATGCTGTCGGGGTGGATCCTACCAACTTCTGACATGCAATAAGTATTCTAATAGTTGTGCTGTTAGATTACCTATTCCGAAATCCACTAAGTCGATGGACTGAGCAACAGCCCCACTACTATTGTGCTGATGAGCTACTTTGTTTTATAGCGTTCAAAATTCCACTTTAACTGGGTTGGGTAGTCAGATTTGCTGACTGGTTATCAGCGAACGATAAACCGTTCGTCAATCGACCTGATTTCCTGGAAAGATCAAATAAACTGTTTTAGCAAGAAGGGCTGCCTTTCTGACGCAATTTATAGTCTTACTGTTGTGACTGATCGCCAATAGCTTGTTCCTAGGAAGAGTCTTACTGTCTTTCTAAATGCTCGTATTTTAGAAATCGTCGGGATATCAAGACAGTTAATTGTTCTGTGAAAGTATCTCAAAAGGACGAGAAAAGCGAGACGGAGACGGAGATGCGTTTCGTTCTGCATTCCTGACTGGATTGTTTAACATATCGGCTTTATTTTCGATTTACATCCCGTCACTGTTACCGTCATTATCTCTGGTATACGTTTCATGAGGAAGAACCTGAATTCATTGCTGAAATTTTTAGTTCGAATACCAGTGAAAAAAATTTTCTTTCACTCGGTGCTCGCCACTTGTTTATTATGTGCAGTAATCGTAGAGGGTCGTTGAGAATGTCGTACTTCATGTCTAATTATTACCGCGTGTGGAAATGTTTTGATGGTATGCGCCGAAAGTAAAGGAAAAGAGCCGAAAAGATCAGAATGGAACCGAAAGGAGAGGAAACAAACGGAACGGAACGTCGAAATCCCGCTGCACGAGGGGAAGGTGGCGATCTACTATAATTTAGCGGACAAAGTCATTCCTGGAATCAAACGGCAAGGTAGATGGTTTTTGTATTGCTCTTCCATGCTAAACGCCGATTGTGTCACATGATAGAACCGGATCCAGCTTCCAGCTCATGGCTATAATAGAACCTACGTGTTACGCAACCTTGGGCTATCAAGTAAGGAGTTTCTTAGCGACTTGTAGTTGTATATTTACGTATGTGATATTTTTGTTTTTTATCTTGTATTCTGTTATTGGCTTTAGACGATAGCGCCCCTGGATGGCCTGAAATACTTCTCTGACACAGCACATGGTCATAGCCGTACCTGTAGGAATCCAGTGTGATGGCACGAATATTTCCTATCTTCACGACAGCTATCGTGTATATATCATGAACTGTAGGACAGTCGATTGCACGACCGTGAAAAAGACGGCGGCGTACGTCACTTACGGGATAGTGTTGTTCTCCGAATCAAACGACAACGTAGCTGTTTTTCCTTTCGCTTTTCCATGCTAATCTCTTGTTCTGTTATAGAGTAAAACGCTATCTAGTTCATGGGCATGATGGAACATGCTCTTAAGGGAAGTCATGAATTTGTGTGCGGCTTAGAGGTGCGTATTTATGCAGGTGACATGCCTGGTGATTTCCTTTTCTTTTGTGTTATAATAAGCAATGTCTTTAGCCGACATGATGATCTGGATGGCCTAAAATACTTGGCTGACACGGCATATGGTCATAGTCAGTCCTGTAACACTGTTGCCGGCTTACGACAACTACCGTGCATATCACCAACTGTAGGACAGTCGGCTGTTGAACTACCGGAGAACGGTTAATTTATTGTTATTCGACTTTTTGCGGAAATGGAAACGGAAAGGAAAGGAACCGACGAAAAGGAGTCCAAGGGAGCGGAAGCAGGCAGAAAGTAGGCGAATGGAACGCAAAACAACTGAAAGAAATCGAAAGAACGGAAACGAACGGAAAGGAAAGAAGCTGAACGGGAAAGGAGCAGAGCGGATCGGAAATGAAAGGAAAGGAGCGGAAGGGAAAGGAAAGGAACGGAAAGGAGCAGAAAGAAAAGGAAAGGAGCAGAAAAAAAGGAAAGGAGCAGAAAAAAAAGGAAAGGAGCGGAATAGAAAGAAAGAGCGGAATGGAAAGGAGACAAAGAGAATGGAGAGAGCAGAAGGTAGGTGAATGAAACGGAAAAACAGCGGAAACGAACGGAAGGAGCAGGGCCGACCGGAGCGGACAGGAAAGGAGCAGAATGGGAAAGCAGAGGAGCGGAACGCAAAGGAGCGGAGAGAAGGGGAACAGACAGGAGAGGAGTAGAAAGGAGGCGAAAGGAACGAAAAACAACTGAAAGGAATCGTAAAGAACGGAAAGGAGAAAAGTGGAAAAGAAAGGAGCGGAAAGCAAAGGAAAGGAGCAGAGACGAGCGGAGAGCAACAAGGAAAGAAAAGAAGCGGAGAGCAAGAAGGAATGGAAAGGAGAGGAGTGGAGAGCAAGAAGGAATGGAAAGGAGAGGAGTGGAGAGCAACAAGGAATGGAAAGGAGAGGAGCGGAGAGCAACAAGGAATGGAAAGAAGCGGAGACGAGCGGAGAGCTACAAGGAAAGGAACAAGGAAAGGAAAGAAGCGGAGACGAGAGGAGAGCAACAAGGAAAGGAAAGAAGCGGAGACGAGAGGAGAGCAACAAGAAATGGAAAGAAGCGGAGACGTGCGGAGAGCAACAAGGAATGTAAAGGAATCGAAAGGGTGGAAACGAACGGAGCGGAGCCTCGGGTTCTGGTTCTATCGATAGCGAAATACTATCATTTCGTGGACAATACCCCTCCTGCAATCCACCAGCAAGGTAGGTGGTTTTTGTTTCGCCCGTCGATGCCAAACGGCTGTTCTGTCGTAGAGAATAGATGGCTGTGATGAAATATGGGTATTACGGAAGCTCTGGCTATCAACACGGTAGTTGCTTCGCGACGTCCAGAAGTGTTTTTACGTATGTGATACGTTTGTTTTGTTATTGAAAGCAAGGCTTTTGGCCGACACGGCATTAGATGGCGTGTGATACTTCCACGACAAGGCACATGAGCATACTCATCGTGGACGGCTTAAGCGAGAGCGTTCGCACGAATGACTCCTATTTTCATTACAGGTGCTGCGGGTATCACGAACTCTGAGACACTCGGTTGTTGAATTACAGGGAGTATGGTTAATATGGTAAATTTTCTGCGGAAGCTGCAACGAAAATTATAGGAACAGAGCTAAAAGGAGCGGAACGCAGAACGAAGGAGCCGAAGGGAACGGAAATGTGCCGTTTCATGTCTGGGAAAGTTTTGTATGTGCCGAGAGGAAAGGAAAGCAGCCGAAAAGATCGGAATGCAATTGAACCGAAAGGACGGAAAACGAATTGAAAGGAATGGATGAAAAGGAGCATACAGAAATGGAAAGGGACGTCGAAATCTCGTCGGACGAGCAGTAAGTGGCAACCTACTATAATTTCGCAGACAACGTGATTCTTGGAATCAAACGGCAAGGTAGATGGTTTCTCCCAGACCACTGTAGGATAAGCAGCTGTTCAACTACACGTAGTATGGTCAATTCGTTAGGTTATTCGGTGGTTATTTTACCCGGAAATGACAACAAACAGTGCAGAAAAGGAACGGAACGAAGGAGCCGAAAGGGAGGAATGGAGAGAAGGGAACAGAAAGCAACGGAAATGAAGGCTAAAAAGGAAAAGCA